TTAGCTCTTCCTTCCTTGGTTCCTTGCTCTTCCTTTCTTTTTTCAGTACTGAGGGGTACTGTATCACTGAACTATTTATCCCCAATCCTTTTTTTTTTTGACACAGGGTCTATTTTGAGTTGTGCAGAATTGTCTTCAAACTGTGATCTTGCGGTCTCAGCCTCCCAAGCTGCTACTATTAGCACTTTAATTTGTGCCTGAGTCAAGGGCACTTATAATAGTCTCAATCTACAGATAAAGCTATCAGTCCTACCTTCAGAATATCTCAAACACTCCCTTTCTCTCCATTTCTACTGCCACCATCTAATCTAAGCCATTGGTCAGATGTGTTTGTTATATTGCAAGCAATCTGTTATCTGGGCAATACTTAACACAGGACTCCTAACTTCTACAGTTTAGCTATATATCTACAATTCATGCTCTACAAACACACTAATATGAGGTTTTTCTTTTAAAAAAATAAAACACACAAAACGTCAGGTTAGAACATTTAAATGGCAATTAGAATAAAATACTACTTCTTATCATGTCATAAAAAATCCCCAGCAACAGAAAATAACACAAAAGAAAAACAGTTGAGAACTGTGCCATCATGTTCAGTGTATAGCAGGGGCTGAAGAATTAAACACTAAAGAATGAGAAGCAACCATCAGGCATTAAGGTTAATTCTGAGAAAATATAACCAAGTGGTCTAGAGGGAAAACTTTGGAAGTTTCTAATGAAGATAGCTTAGTTTCACGCTTACTAGAAAAAATGTGCCTCCTGGAAATTGCAGATACAATTTAACTCCATCTGGTAATAACCTGGTTTTTCTAAAAACCAGATTATTACCAATGCAAGCAAGCAGTATTCATTTCTTACCAGCTTCTTTTTCTTTCAACTGTAGGAGAGCTGGCATTGGAGGATGAAGAAAATAACAATTTTCATGTCTTTGCTTAAACTCTTCAGCAGCAATAGGGTCTATACCTAGTGCAAACCAGGCAATCAACCCATCTTCCTCTTCTTTTGGGACTTCTCCATCATAATTGCGTAGCTTTTTTTTCATTTCAAGTTCTACTCCAAGGAAAATCAAGGTGATCTTCTCAGGCTGAGTCAAGTAATCCTTTATATCTGTATGGTTCAGCTGACAAAGTCTTACTTCTGGCTGTTGAAAACTTTCTTTATTGCCACCTAGAGTAACCAAGGGACTTAAATCTGAGAAAAGGATATAAACTGTGGCAGGATGGCTTTCTTTAGCTAGCAGCCAGTCAGAATTATTTCTTTTTTCACTTTTCCGGTCCAGTAGTGTTCTGCTAAAATAATTTTCACATTCTTCTGCTTCATTGGTTAGAAACCAAGGCTTTTTCCCACCTTTAGCATTAGCTAATAAGTTGGCTATATGTTTATAACCCCAAAATATAGCAATATCTAGTGCAGTTTGTCTTGATTTATTGACAGTTGATCTGTCACACCTACAGATGAAAAAAAAATTGGAGAGGAAAAATAAAATAGAAAGTAAACATTTTTCTTGTAATTATTTCAATAAAATATTTCCAAATACACATTAGAGCCTCTCTTTAATGATTTTATAGATTATTTCTTTCTTTTGGTATGCAGTTTTTTTATTAGTAATGTTAAAAGAATCACTTAATAATTATAAGTAATGAAATAGTAAAGATAGTGGACATTTACAATTTCTGGATAATTACTTATAAAAAAGCATTAGTTTTATGTTCAATAAGGATACCAATATTCTAAAGTCATTGGTAGTCATAATGAGATTTGCATTTTTATTTGTGAGAAAAAGATTATGCATAAATTTGCTTTACTATTAAGAAGGAGGAAGGAATTTTATTTCAATAATAAAAGTTACAGCTGGGGATGTTTTCTCAGAGGACGAAGGCTTGCTTGGCACATAAGAAGTGTGGTTTAATTCCCAGAACCAGGAAAAAAAAGAGGTTAACAGTTTTTAGTTAGAAATTATGCTCTATTCTTGAATAACAAACTGGTCAATGCATTATTTACTAGCCCAGTAACATAAGTTCAGCTACAAGAAAAGGAAATACGTAACATAGAAATTTTAAATCACAAGTCCTTTCAGGTGGTAGAACCTAAAAATGTTTACCCTTTCTCAAGCAGAAATTGAACAACATCTGGGTGACCATTCCTTGCAGCATACATTAAAGCAGTCCAGCCATTTTCAGAAGTTTCATTGAGTAGAGATGGAGAATGACTGAGTATTCCTGTTAACTTGGCAATATCTCCTTCAGCAGCTGAACTGAGAAATTCAGAAATTATTTCCTGTTTTGGACTTCTTTTTATAGAAGACATTTCTTCCTTAAAAATAAGGAAAATAGGGGAAAATATCATTTGCAATTGGTTTTTGTAGTGATGTAGGAACATTATCTGAGTGCTAATGTTAGAATAATGTAATAGTTTTCAAAGCAATATATTCTTCAAAAGGTAATCAGTAGTCAACTGTCCTTACAGTACACAATTCAAAATTGTTATCAGTGAGAACTGTAATTCAATCCATATGTCCACAGGAAGGTATATAAAATAATGTACGAAGAGTTTTAGTAATTCAAGAGACTTGGGAGAGTGGGCCAGTAACCTCACAAACAAGAGAATATGAGGCAGATCAGAGATTTCATTACAGCGAGGGGACAAGAAAGACAGAATAAAAGCAGACAAAAATAAAAAGAGGTTTTTAGCAGATGACAAATAGTAGTATCTGATTCTATGGTATCAGATATAGGTCTTTGCCCTCAAAGAAATTATGATCCTATAATTGTTCAAAAGCTTTCTACATTTCACATATAAGCAATTTACTGCTTTACCTTACATGATTAATTTTGCAATCCATTTGATAATGACTTTGTTCATGCTATGAAGTAGGCTAGATTAAGGTATTTTGTATTTGAATAGATAATTTATATAAATCATTACTATTATTTTGTTGTTAATTTTCCCCAGTATTAAGGGCTAAACCCAGGGGCACTTTACCACTAGGCTACATCTGCTGCCTTTTTTATTTTTTGAGATGGGGTCTAAGTTGCTGAGGCTGGCCTTGAACTTCTGATCACCTTGTCTCAGCCTCCCAAGTAGCTAGGACTACAGGAGTGCACCAATGTGCTTAGCATCTGATAACTATTCTTGAAACTACCATCTATGTCTAATTGCACTTCAGTATTATCTTCGTCACAAATTAGATGACCACAAATTTTTGAGTCTATTATTGGACACAAGTTCTGTTAGTCTCTCTGGTATTCTTGAATCCCTGAATCTTTTCAAATCATCAACTTTGCTTTTTCTTTCTGATGTTTCAATGGAGGGCAAATAAAGAGGATTTGCCCCATACTTCTTAATAAATGCTATCTAATCATGAATTACATGTAGCGGGACACATACCAAGATATTTTGTGTGTAAAATGGTTCATGTTTCAATTGTCTATCAAATTCTCAAAGCATTTTTTAAGACATATTTTTTTTCTATGAAATGCTATTAAAAGATTTGGAACTATCTGAAGCAATCAGGCACTTAGGAAAAAGAGAATAAAAGGTTATATATAACACATAACTTTTGAAAGCTGTTGTCTCTTAGATTCTCAGACATCAGTCTAGCTGATCAATTCTGTAGTGCAGTATGAAAAAGTTTAGGAAAAAATGAGCTAAAGGTGAACTTTCTTATTTTGTAACTGTATAAATCAGTTAAAACTGCTCACAGGAATGGAAACAAACTAATATTTAAAGTCTATTTACAAATTAATGCTATCAGAAAGCAATTTTTTTATTTCTTTTGTTTTACCCTAGATTTACCCTCCAATACTTTCAATTGAAGTTTCCAAATGTGTTTAAAAGCATTATGAATAACAAAAGCTATAACTTTTCAACATTTTATTTTTGAGCACTGCTGAACAGACTCCTGTGTGGTCTCTATTCCAAATAGCCTTAAATTTATTTTCCATAATTTTTTTCTCAGTTTGTTCAGTGAGGATTGGTTTTATTTCACTGTCCCCTGTTCTAAGGTCATGGTCATTCCCTCATCCTCCTCACAGGCCACCAAGGGATTGCAAAATTGACCTCCAAAAAATATAGTGTCATTCACTATCACTAATGCAATGTTTATGCATACAGTATTCTCTGGAAAGAGAAAGTGAAAAAAATATACCCTGCTCCCCTTAGCTTTCTCAACAGAAAAGTCATCTCGAAATAGTACCATTTCTCATTCCGGAGAAGCACAGAAAATCTGACATCCAGCTCTACTGCTTGATTTACCTTTTCATTTCTTATTGACACGTCCTGTAGAAGGTAAGGATTTAAAGGCAGGATAAAGTGCTGCCCTTGCATTCCAAGAAGAGCATGAACTATTCTGGGAGGTCATTTAAAAGAATCTTAGATTTAAATGGACTTAGATTTTAATGAAACAAACATCCACGTTTACTAATGTGTAACCCGGGTCCCAAGGTCATATGGCTCCAGTGGGACAGAGCAAGACCTCATAGATGGCTCTATTACTGAAGTCCCCAACCATTATTTAACGAATTCCATTCCCTGGGCAGTCAAGACAGTCAATTAACCAATTAGGCAAAACCCCAGCACGGCCTCTCCAAACGGAGATGGTTTATTTTCTTGCCACTACTGTGAGATTCCGTCTTAAATGTGAAATCACATCCAAAGTAGCGTTACTTTTACCCCATCTCAAAACTTGGGCTGGAAGCTCCACCAGCCACTGGGTCGTCTGCACCCCCCGCCTGGTTCCGGGCCCCGCAGCAGCCCGGGCCCGGGCTCTCGCGCAGGCGCCCGCCAACCCAGCGCAAGGTGCGCCACACGACCGAGCTGGGGACCCGGGGAACTGGTCACCGCCTCCAGAGGGGATCCTGGGGTCGACTAACTCGCCGCTGCTGCTACTAACCCACGGGTGACCTGAGTAGTGGCAATCAGGATACAGTAGAAGGACTAGGAAATTCCAGCTCTCACTTTCCCCAGCGCCGGAGGCAACCTTCCCGACTTCCGGCGGAGGTCCGGTGTGCTCGCGCGGCTTGGCGGGAGTTGTAGTTTAAAGGTCACTGCCGTGAGTTCCGCATCGGGGGCGGGGCTCCGGATTGAAGGCGTGAGCGAACCGGGCTGACGACTCCGCAGGTTGTCGGTCCTCCCTTATTGAGGTGTGGAGCGCCCAGAACGGGCTACCTGAGAACTGTAGGTCTGTAGAAACGGTTTTGTTTTCCACTATTTCCCAGCCAGCTCCCCAACATTCCCTCAGCCAGTACAGATCAATGCATTTGAGTTTTTTCAAAGCATTTTGCGTGTTATCTAAACCTGGAATATTGGCCGAACCAAGTTACTTAGGTCTTGGCTGCTGTAAAATCTCAGTTCACCTCACGTGGAAAATGGTACGGTGTTCTAAAGTCTACCGCATTCAGTAGCCCTCTAAAACGTATGTATCAAACTCCCACAGTACCTACCTCCTTGGCTTGTAAGGTTTAACTAGAATATTGCATGTAAAGCTTTTCGGAAAGTAACAAGTATAGAACCGGCACCCACATTACAGTTATTGTTGCTGTTATTTATGTATTTCATTTTCTGTGCTTTCATTGCTGCCGAACTACAAAATTTTTGTTAGTTTGAGATTACAAGCTAGGTACTCCCAAACCAGTGGTTGTTCTTTGGCAATCAGCCACATCCATAAGGGTCTTTTAAGATCCTCATTGCTTCCTGTCCGAATTTTACGCTGTGGAAGCTCCTTCCCAAAGGAAAGCCGCATATACCCGCTGATACGTTGTTTTCCTAACTGTTCTGTCCTTTCTCTGAGTAGTAATCTTTAATGATTTCAGAGATCAGATAGGAGATCAGAAATACTACTTAGTTATCTCACTGGAATACCCAATTTTGTATTCAATGTATTAGATAAATTACATAATGAACCCTCATGAATTAATAATCTAGCATTAACAATTATTAATATGCAGTTCTTGCAGCCCTTTGGATTCTTTTGAAACAAATTCCAGACACTTTATTATTTCATTGATAAATACATAAGGATAAACTTCTTGGGATTATTAATATGTATCTAAAGAATAAGCACTTTAGAATATAATTATAGTATCATAAGTGTATAACTTAAATTTTTAACAATTCTATCATATGAACGATATTCAATATAACATTTACAATTATGTCATAAATTTTGTTTCTTGTTGTTTTATTCAAATCAGGACCTAAAGTAGGTCTCCACGTTAAATGTTATGTTTTTAAGATGTAGAATCCTTTCATTCCCATCCCCCAGCTTATTTGTTGAATTAACAATGAATTATAGTATTTTCCATTTTCTGAATTTTTTAGGTTGTATTCATATAGTATACTTTCTCCCTGTATTTCTTATAAGCCAGTAGTTAAATTTACAGAATTCTTTAGATTTTGTCTTATTTCTTATAGCCTTACATTAATAGGTGTGCAATGTATAGTTGTGATTTTTTTTGTTCTGTTGTAATTTATCATTGATTTCATATGTTGTCAGCCTGATAAAGTTTATGATAAACATATTTTCTATCAGTTTTTGAGCCAATGGTTTTAATAGCCATTGATGACTATTTTAATAGGTGTTGCAAAATGGTGATGTTCTAACTAATTTGATCATTCACTCTACACTTAGGAGACAAAAATAGTTTATAATAAACAAATTTTTTCTCATTAAGTATAGGATAAGGTAGGATAAGTAAGTGATTTTCTCCTTTGTTTTCTGAATAGTTCCCTAATATCCTTTAAGTTTAGAAGTTTATTTATGAACTCATGGTTGTTAATATTTTATGTATTTAGGTCATGGAAGATATTGTTTAAAATATTCTTATAACATTTATTATTTTGATATGCAGATTATTTAACCAGTGGGAACTTCCTCAAGTGAACCCAGAGTTCTTTCAACCAAACTCCTAGAGAGTTTGATAATTTACTTCCTTTCTACATTGACAAAATGCACAAACTCATCTTGTAGATATTCTGTTCCAGGCTTAGTGTCAGCCATTCTTCTATGATTTTTGGTTCCTTTGGGTGAAAAATGGTATTTGGATACCATCCTGTGTATTGGGGTGCTTATTGCTGATGGATTATTGTGGAATTCTCTGCATGTAACCCTTGCCTAAGCAAATTGAACAGATACAGATCCTTTCCAAAAGGCGTTTACATTCTAAGGGCAGTAATGGTGCCAACACAGGTATTAATGAAATACTGTATTACTTTATTACTTTGACATTTAGAAACTTAAAAGTTGAAATTCTTTAGCTTGACATACTATCCTTAAATGGATCCAACACATATTTTTAGGCATATTTTAAAAAGAATTTCATATAAACAGTCTCTGATATGGTCAAACTGACCTGTACATTGACTTGGAACATCTCATGCTCTCCTGGATTGCTGCTTACGCTTATGCTACTTTTCCTAACTTAGGTGCTTTCCTTTATTCAAATCCTACTGACTTCTCAAAGCCCAGCTCAAGTACTTTTTCCGTTAGATTATCTAGATCATTTCTGTTCATCGTGTTATCAGTTTCCCACCAATATTTCATTGCTCTTACCATCTTAATAAATGATGCCCATTTTTCCAATTGCTATATCTGTAAATTTTCTTTCTTTTTTTGACTTGAGGGCTTTTCCTTGTCACCAGATCACACTTTTCTTCTGCTCAGCCGATCAACAAAATCAGATAATTAATATTGCTTGAGAGAAATCCTCAACTAATGACTGACATGATGTGAAATGGTATATAAATAACTTAGTCTTTTTTTTACCTTCTCTCTCAAAGGAACATGTTCTACACTGTTTTTTTATTTCCCTGGTGTGATTAGATTCTCTTCATCTATAGTAGATTAATATCCAACTCTCTTTTGGCTGTATCCCATTGCCTGTTTCCCTACCATTCCTTTCCTTCCTTACTTTTCTACCTTTGTTTCCTCCTATATGACCAATTATGTGTAAATCCTTGTCTCAGGATCTGCTTCTGAGGGACATAAACTAAGATAAGGATTTTTTTCCCTCTTTTCAATTCATAACCACCATTATGCAGTAGTTAGCCTCCCCTGCATGTCTTGGGAGAATCATTAACCATCATTAAGTAAATAAGTCCCTATTATCAGTCATTCTGGAACACATTATATTCTGTTGCCTTTATAAGAACAGTGTAATTGCAAATCAATGCATGAAATTTGGATTGATTGTCCTTGAAACGAATAATTTGTAGTTCAAACTTGAAAGCAACTTTTTCTTTTTTTCCCTCTGCCCATAGAATCACTTCACAAAATGGCTTGTCCTTCACTATTACTGCCCTCTAAAGACCACATGGACCTTTGGAAAGTTACTTGGAACCTTTTTTGAGTGTACTGCAAATGAATGTTGATATAACATATAGATTATTTTTTAAGACAGATACATGTCAACTGTATCCTACAAATTTAGTGAAAATATGTCTGGTCATTTTTCTGCCAATCAGATGGAAATCTGATTTTATGAGCAATATATAAATAAATAAAAATTTATGTATGTAATTTTATTTGGTATTAAACTTTTGGATCTGGAGATGTGCCTTATTATTTCCATACTTACTAACGCTTCTAGTAATTTTGCCTTTTTCTTTTGACAGGCTATAATTTATTTCAATATGGAGGAGCCTGATTTTTAAAGACCTTATACAATAATAGTTTATTTCCTTCCACATATAAGGCACCTGATAAAAGTTGGTGGAGGGTAATGATGTCATATCTGGGAACTGTGCTTAAAATCTATACCATTTAGAGTTGAATTCAATAAAAGTGAGGGTATCTTGAACTCTACATATATATTTAGTCTTTGATATGAGATAGTTTCAAATGTAACTAGATAGAGGAGTTCCTAGGTTACATAAAATATATACACATTTTACATTCTCAATACACCAAATTGTTTCTAGTCTTAGGACTTTTGTTCCACCTATTTCCTCCTTTTGAAATATTCTTCCCCAAGATGGATGTGATAATATACTCCTATAATCCCAGAAACGTGGGATGCTGAGGAATGAGGATTTCAAGTGTCAAGCCAGCCTAGGCAACCTAGTTAGGCAGGCTCAAAAATAAAGGCTGGGGATGTAGCTCAGAAGTAGAGTGCCCTAAGTTCAGTCTTCAATAATGGAAAACAACGAGAGCAGCAACAACAACAATGGCAGCATAGAAATATGCCTCCTCCAAATTTTCTAATTATAGGCTTCTTCTTGCCATTCAGATGACAGCTCATCAGTTATCTCTTTAGGGAGTTTCCTGATCACAGTAGCTCTTCTATTGATATATTCTTATTTTTGGCATTCTTGGCTTTTGTTTTTATTGTTTTTGATCTTTATTTATTGTGTTTTTCTATTAGAATGCAAACTGATCGGTAATAATATTCTTATTTTTCTTGTTTATTGCTATTTCTCAAAGACCTCGATTTTTTAATTTGGCATATCACAAATATATGGTGAATATTTGCTAATTTTGAACAAATGGTTGTTTTCATATTAAGTCAAATATATTTTTTGACATTGCTACCATATCTTGAATAACATTAAGCAGGAAGTCATCTAACTTCCTGTGGTTAAGTTTATGGAATTTAGGTAGGGAAGTAAATTTGGTTGCTCTCCTCAAGGAACTCCTTCTCTAATGAATTAAAATAGGTGATAAACAATACTTGTATTATAGTAAAGATGAAATGGAGAGCTCATTGGGAGCATAATGGATAAAGTGCTTATCCATGTCTTTTTCTTTTTTCTTGACTCTTCTGGGAAGAGGATATTGTTCATGTTCCTTGCAGCTGGACATGGCCCTGTGACTGTTTCTAGCCAAAATACTATGAACAGAAGTGATTGTGTTTTGGCTAATGCACTTCAGGATAGTATATAGCCCTCCAGATAGCTCTTACCTCATTATGGTGATCTGGAAGCACATGTTAAGATAAAAGCACAGGAGATAGGACTGGCATTCACCCTTGGGAGCACACTGACATGGAAAGCTGCCAGATCTTCAGTGGACTTTGTATGAGCAAAAATTAACCTTTGTGCTGTTAACCGTTGAGATTTTAGGGTCAAGTTTCTGACTCAGTTTATTCTGAATGATACAGAAAACAATGAGAAGAGGACCTTTGAACTGAGTTTTGAAGAACCAGGAACAAATGATAGGACAAAATCTGCTTGTCAGAGGCTCTT